CTTACATAATGAGTATTATAGTTACTGTTATGAGGATGAATCGTATAACAAAACGCTACAACTGATAAAAAAATATCCTAGTGATCTAAAGTGCTTAAACAAATATAAAAGATATATTTAATGTTAGTTTCTTGTAGGAATACGTTATGCGAATATGCGAACCTTAATATGTAGCGTTTTCTAGACAAATGTAAAGTGTTCATTAATCGAAATTGTTCAGTAATCTTAATAAACATTTATATATTTATTTAATAAAACAAAGAACAGTTTTTTCCCTCCTACAACTTAGTCATTCAAAATCGTATGTTATTTACAGGATCCCTTGATGGATATAAAAATTTTAATAAAATTTAATGAAATAATAGTCGAAAGATTCGGTTTTACGAACAAACAAACACATTGAAAATTATTTTACCGGAATTGTAAGTAATAGGTCCAGTACATTTTCAATTATTTAATGTTTGACGAAAAAACTAGTTGTTAAATAAGTATTCACTACAATAAATGTTTATAAATGCCAATTATTTGTGAAAAAATAATTTTTTCCGTACGTCCCGGCCAAAGGTTCATATAACTATTCTGCTCTAATTTTGCGACAGGAACAACCTCATCTTATATCTGCTCTGCATCCAAAAATAGCTATAATTGCGTAAGTTTGCGTTAAATGTGTTCGACTATCTTGGAAAAAAGTTTCAAGCTTATAGGTTGACTCCTCTTTGAGAAAATTTACACAAATGTAGTCAAAATGTCACATCCGTCCCCTGTCCCAATCTCAGTTTTGCACGTAAAAGCTCCAACTGCGATGAAAACAAGCTTTTTCGATTTAAAGTATGTATGTTGCATGTTACATTTATCCCATGATAATATTAATTTTCAATCAATAAGCAAGAGTTTTCATAACAGAATAAATCTCACACAGTTTGAACTGAAATGTCGACAACAGCGGAAAGCACCTTGAAATCTACACTGATATTTTTCGTAACCCCTTGTAGCGGTTACTTTTCTCATTATTCGTCAAAACAAGACAAACCCTCGAGACAACTCCTCAAAACATTCCGTCTCTTTAGTTAATACGTATTTCAATTTTTAATTTTCGAGTCTACACTAACTTTGGTTACTTCCGTCAGCCCCTGGCCCCAGCACTCTGTTATCCGTACAGATGAGTATAAAATTTTTTCTTGTATTATTCGTTGGGGACAGATGTTTTTTAAGCAGAAAATGGTTTATGTTAAGTCTGCGAGCAGCAACAGTACTCCGAAGCTCGAAATGTCCCATCCGTACCCATCACTTACATCCCCCCCGACAATCAGACGCCGTTTTTGTCTCACTTCTAGCTAATGGATCTTTGCCAAAATTTTTTCCAGCTCTGTTGGGCTAAAATATCAGACACGTGTCTCGGTGTTTGGTCAAACCCGACTTTTTTTGCAGGATACATTGATAAACGTCAATTCTACTTCCAATGTAAGTAAAGAAGTAGTACACTCGTTTCGGTGGTTCTTACTCGGCTTAAATAAAAGCTGGGATTTAGCCTTGTCAACGGAAAAAAAATTTGTTGGATTCCGTCCCACCAATAAAAAGTTATAGCGGTTTGGAGAAAAATTACAAATTTTCAGCAAAAATCAGCAAAGTCTGGTTTTCAGCCATTTTTTGTTGCTTCTTTCATTAGCTCTAACTTTGGATTAGGGGCATCAAATCAAACAAATTTTTTTTCAATCAAAAGTTCTTGATCCCTTCTTTCATTTAAGCCCAGTAAAAACTCTCGGACTGTACAAGCAGCTTATCTATAGGCGTCAGAAAGAGACGTATTTTTTTGAAAAATTGACTGAAACTGACTTTAGGAAAAGTCATATATCTTTTGACCAAAAAACTTTGTAGTAAAATCGCTTTAGATATTTGTTATAGATATTATTTAAGACTAAAGCGCTATAAGAATAATTTTTGTCGACAACTTTTTTTAAAAATAATTTGAAGTTGAAATTGACCACTTTTGACAGAATCACCCATATACATGTAGGAATAAGCGGCGTATTCTGGCACGCAGAAGCGATATAGTATACTTGTAAATAAATTTATTTATTTATTTAATATAAACCAGGTGTAAGGGGTATATTTTATGTATAGGGTTATAATTCATATAACTGCTATAGGATTACGCATAAACGTGTACGCAGACCTAGTCATGTTAAAAACTTGTATTATAATAAACCCTCATTCTCATATAAATATGAACACATATTTTCACACACGTGAGTGGAAGGCGCACTGGGGGTCTATTGAGGTATGGAAAAGCGAAAGCGACGCTTTTTCCTCTCGCGCTTTCGATTCGGGTGAAAAATTTGACAGCATCGTTTTGCCCGTCTTAACCTTTTAAATCCTCCGAGATCGCGACTAAGCCTTTAATTCGAACGAATTTTTTTGCTTACTACTCTGAATATTGATTTTGTTAAATCGTAATTAAGATTGAGATAAAACACTTGTTAATATTGTAAAAATCATCTGGAGCAAAGCACTATTTGTTTATTTTTTTTTTTGTATTTTCAATTTAGTCATCATCTTGAAGTACAATAATTTAGCTACGACCTTAAACATTAGTTATTACGGTATGTAAAAGTTAATGAAATTTTTAATCATTAATATTTGTCTGAAAAAAGAACCGAACGAGTTTGACACTATAAAAAAGGCATGAAAATTATTGTGAAAAAATTTGTCGGTTCCCAAATGTAAAAAATATAAACAACCATATAGAAGCTCATTAAAAATAATATTTGATTCGAATAGTGCTGTATAAATTAATATACACATATTTACATCAGAATCGTACCTAACGTTTTGATACTTATAAATAAATAAATAAATAAATTTTTTTATTTTAATGAGCTTCTATATAGTTACTTATATTTTTTACATTTGTAACCGGCAAATTTTTTTACAATAATTCTTATGAAATTTTTTATATCGTCAAACTTGGTGTTTAGTTCTTTTTTCAGACAAATATTAATAACTGAAAATTTTATTACCTTTTACATACTGTAATAACTAATGATGTACTTCGAATACTTATTGTACTTCAAGATAATGACTAAATTTAGAATTAAAAAAAAAGCAAAAACAAATAGTGCCTTGCTCCAGATGATTTTGACAATATTAACTAGTGTTTTATCTCAATCTTAACTGCGATTGAACAAAATCAATATTCAAATTAAGAAACGAAAATAGCGTTTGAATTAAAGGCCTACTTGCGATCTCGGAGGATCTAAAAGGTTAAGACGGACAAAACGATGCTGTCAAATTTTTTACTCGAATTGAAAGCGCGAGAGAAAAAAGCGTCGCTTTCGCTTTTCCATACCTCAATAGACACCCTGCTAGAGCTTGGTCCTGCCGTCCGCGTCATTAAATACAGAGACGATTGGGACACGGTGAGACTGAAAACACCGAGTCAATTGCAGGGGTCTGATCGCGATAGTGATTTGACATCAAAAGATGGAAAGACGAACTATCCTATAACTGTATAAGAGTTTTAATACCCAGCAATCTCCTCCCGCGACCCTTGCCTTAGTAAGTGTGTTCGTTGTTCGTATCATGATGTCAAATATTTCATCTCAATAAGTAGATATTTCGTGGTGAATTTTTCTGGATTTCCCTGACCCACGAGATATTGTTCCTGGGCGAATATGGAATGGTTTATCTAGGTTTAGGTGATTAGTCCCCCCCGTACTCCCATCCAACAGGTAAGGCCTCTCAATCCCTCATCTCTTCCACCCTTTTCCACGTGCTCAGTATACAGACAAGTGCTACTACATAGGAGTCGTGCGTGTAGCACAATAATATTAATATACATACTTACATAAATACATACATACATGGGTATAACAGCAGTTATTCAGCATACTTACGTATCCGTACCAAACTTTTTTTCATTTGAAAGTATATAAATGTTGTGTGCTTCAATACACTGTTCCGTAAGGTCTTCATCTTTTTATTGGTTGGTTTTTAGGCTGAATATTATAGTGACGTACTTGGCAAAAAGCATGTACTGTAAAAGTTACACTATACCTTTTTAAACGTTGTAGGCCATTAATTATCTTTATTTTGGTACGCGTTACGCAGCGCATGTTTTTTGTATATATTTGCTATGAAGCATCAATATTTTAACAACAAGCGATATTTTGAGTCACACTCATAATTTTTTTATCGATTTCTACATAATATCGTACAAGATCACGTGAGAATCTTTTTCATTGATACACTCGTGTTTAAATGAACGACTATCACACGACCGCGGCTGCCGCATTTATAGTACGTAGTCGAGTAATTGTATATCATGATGAACGGCACCGTAGTAATGTTATTTTTATTGATGTAGGTGTCTAACTTCCGGTGAAAATGTACTGAAAAAGTGTATATGCACCACAAACCGAAATTATATAGGCTATCATTGACCGCGCAATACAGAATACGCTGTCAGTAATAGCCCACTATCTGGTCTTTTTAGCGTAACGTACTAAGCTATTAAAAGAAAGAGAAAAATCAATTATAAGATAGACCGATGAAGTAAGTTCAATAAAAGGTTAAACAAAGTAATTGTAGTAACTGGTAATAAATACGTCAGGAAATCCTTCTAAAATTTTTTTTTCACATCTTAGGTTTTCTCCATAAGAAGTAATAATATGTAAGTGTATGCTGATCACAATAAACGAAAATTAAAATATAAAGTAGTTAATACTAAACTCAGAAGTTACTTTAAAAAAAAATGTAAAACGTGTATGATGACAGTAATATACAACACTATAAAATGTGTCATTAAATAGTCGTACGTTAATTTAATAATTATATTATTAAAATAAACTACGATAAAATTAGATCGTTTACTACATTGTTAGGTTTTCTTTATAGAAAATGATAAAAAAACTTTAGTAAATGCTTATCGTAATGCAATGATATAAAAATATAAAAATAACTAATACAAAACTCAGAACTTAATGAAATAAAAAATATAAAACATGTATCATGACAGTAATTTACATTACTATAAAATATGTCTCTAAATTAGTTGTATATTCATTTTTCATAAAATACGATGAACTAAGATCGTTTAGTACAACCTATCGTTATAATTCTATTGAAACCTATATATTCATGAAATGTATAGATTTCTATGAAATGTATGTATTTCATAAAGTATTTTTTTTTCAAATCTTTGTTAATAACTCTACACGATAACATTTTGTCTTCATTATTGTTAATACTATTCAATATTTTTTGAATCATACATGACACTATTTTGTATTTACATTTTTGGAAGACTAATAAATAAAAATAAGGTTTAATTAGGTACGCTTTCAAATTGTGCTTCACAATCCCCTCAACACTGGCATGAAAATCATAGCACGATCAGTCATAGACAACCATGGNAACTGGCCCAGATAATCGGCACAAAGCTGTGCCACACAACCTCGTACCACCCACAGTCCAATGGCATGGTGGAGAGGTTCCACAGGACCCTCAAAGCAGCCCTGCGCTGCTGCCCGCAGTCTTGGTTAGACTGCCTCCCGACTGTGCTCCTGGGACTCCGCACAGCATACAAAGAGGACCTGCAAGCCTCTCCAGCGGAAATGCTCCTCGGATTCTCACCCAGAATCCCAGGGGAGTTCTTCACCACCGAGTCAGTCCAGGCCAACCAGTCTACGTTCGCGCGGAGCTTGCGACAACTCCTCAGAGCCATCAGACCAGTGCCTGCCTCGAATCACTCAGCCCAGCACCCGTTCTGCTTCAAAGATCTGTCAACCTGCTCGCATGTCTTCAAGCGTGTCGACAGAATCCGAAAGCCGCTGGAACCACCCTACACCGGCCCACATCGCGTTATTCGCCGTCTCGATAAGCGCAACTACGTCCTCGACACCAACGGCAAAGAAGAGGTGGTGTCCACGGACACGCTCAAGCCGGCATACATGGAACAAGCTGACTCCTTCCTCGAGCAGCCCACAGCGCCAAGCACAGCTGCTCAGCCGTCACCGCAACCCCTGCCGCCTGCACCCAACACCGCAGCTCAGCCGGAAGCGCCCAGCGCCGCTGATCAGCCGTCGCCGCAACCGACGTCCACCCCAACTATCCAAGCCGCACAGTCTTCAGCAACTCGCCATGTCTCGTTCCCGGCTCTTACGCCGGTCACTGGGGAGGGAGTATATGTGGCGTCTCAGCCACAGCGACCAGTTTCGTGCTCAAGACGAAAGCAGGCCATCGTCCCAAGGAACATCTTTTCCTGCGCACGCGCGAGCCAACTCACACACCCACCGCCGGTGCCCTACAGCTGAGGGAGAAGAGTCGCGCGGCGCTATACATTTTTCTTCTACTTAGAGCTCTCGACGCGAGCAGAGCGAAAAAGTCCAATTGTACATAATGAAATAAAGTCTTTTGTATTCTCATAATAAAATCTGTTGCGTGTGTTTATTTCCCCTCGTGCTCCTTTTCTTGTGGAAGCACAGCTTCAGCTGTGTAGAACAATGCATCCCACATATATATGGTGATAAGCACTCATACATACTCTGAAGAAAGCATACAAGGCTGCACGGCCATTATCACCTATCAAGAAATAAGAGTTGAATATTTTCTCTCTTCAACATATGATTAGTTTACATGTTAAACATAACAATTTACAGGTTAGTTAGATAGGATCCTTATATACATCTGTGCACACTCGCTGTTTGGCATTCTAAAGATAATTAGTTTTCTATTTATCAAAAAAATTATGTTAATTATGTTGGCTTAGAAAGGTGTGAATTAATCAATTCTTTAGACTTTACAATTAATTTTCCTCAATAAAACTTCTATTTATTTCTTGTATATTTGGAAATGTGTAGATTTTTTTTTTTGTTGTAAGAGAAAATTATTGGTGCAAATATTTTCATCGACCGGAAATCGACTAAATAGATTTTACTCTGACTCAATTAGTTTCTTATTCTACTAATTTACAGCTACTTAATTAAATTTACAAAAGTTAAATGTTTTGGCACAAATGCATGCCGAACAAAAAGTTGTCAGACAGCTTGTTTTTAATAATCTTATTTTAATCTAGGAGAAGTGATTCCAAAAAGTTTTGATTTATGTAGTAGGTAAATTTTATATAATATCATAACTGGCAGATATAAGAGTTAATGTTAAATTGTGGAATTAAATCTTTTTTTTTTTTTTAAATTTCGAAAAAAGATTATTAAAAAAGTTCATACACACATATAATGTAACATAAAATAACTCTCTTGATAAAGTAGAAAATCTCTACTATCTCTAGTAAGCACATTGGCAGATCGTCACAGAACAGCATATTAGTAGAGTTGATAGACTAGCTGAAACGCACAAGAATGAATTGGGATCGCTAAATCAACATTTAAATAGTAAATTTTGCAGACTACGCCAGCCACTTAAAATCATAAAAAAGTGATTGTATAGTTTTGACCCTTGAATACAAATTTTTTTATCATGTCATTTAAAAATAAATATTCTCTAAGTTTTTAAAAAGAGATGGCTGTGTGAAAAAAAAGAAGTATCCTTTTTTACCTATTTCTTGTCCTATCTTATATGGGCTTTACAAATACCAAAAAGTTCATTTAAGAATTTCAAAAAATAATTGACATATCTTTCAGTGCATTTCAATCAAATCCAGTAACTCATCTTAGGAGACGCTGTTTCGGATTACTTCATGATGCAGATAGCCGATAGTGTGTAACATTATCTACTTCTATACGCTCAAGGATACTGAAATAGTTATAATAAAGCCGTTATTCAAGCAGTCCGTACATATTTTAAAGGCGTGGAAACATCTGACACCATCTTGAATGCCTTTAGTACATCTATTAGTCAAAATTTTTCTTCGAAACTATCTTAAAATGACATATGAGCTAACAGCTATCTAAGAAACAAAATAATTTCACGTAAAGCTGATTCACAAAAAATTTCAACATCGTATTTCATAGATAGCTGTAATATAAGAGAGGTAGATTAGAAAAAATTAGTATTGAAATAATACCCATGCAAACCTTAACAGATAATCAGTTAAGAAGCCCTTAATAAAAGTTCTATTTCAAAAGTGATAAATTCAAATTCCAATGAGTATAGCCGTAGTTGTATAGAATTTAAATACCTGCATACGCAGAACTCACCTTGCGAATCGTGATTATTTTCTATTAGAGTTATGAAGCGTTTATATTCACCTTTATTTCTCTTCTTTAGAGTAGTATCACTGTTATTGAGTAGAAGCTTAGAATTATTCTTAGGTTTTATAAGAGGTTCATTCCTCCATGGTTTAACTCCATTTTCCAAGGAAGGTTTAAAAGAGCTCACTACTGGCAGGCCTGTGTGACATCGTAATTATTATTTGAAAAATTAAGATACAATTTCATTTATAAAAATTAATAATTTTTTCATGACTTATAACAAATGTATTTTCAAGGAAACTCCTATTGTGTGAAATCG